AGAGAAGAAGAATATACCAAAGTAGCAATGCAATGACGAGATCAACTTATATGTCAAAGCTAATAATAACATATTCTAGATTTCTTAGGTTCACCACAACACGTTACTCATGTTTACTTAACCAAACCACCAACGAAAAAGGTAGGACATGCCTCTTCTATGATAATCCTTCCAAATGCATTGAAATCCCATGTAATACTCCACATGTTTTGCACAGTGAAAAACTGTTTGTTATCTTTCGTCATATGATCAAAACGAGTCTATTTATTCTTTCTTGCAGTTCATGCTCAATGTAAATTCTTTCAAACTATTTCACATAAGATCACAAACACATAATCAAATTAGTTTTTGTTTTTATTTTTTGCTTAAAACATAACATTGTTTTGGTTACATGCTTAATGTAAATTTTTTCAAACTATTTCATATAAGGTCACAAATACATAATCAAATTAGTTTTTCTTTCTACTTTTTGCTTAAAATATAATTGTTTTGCTTACATGCTCAATTTCTATTTTCCCACCAAAAATTGTGTTTTGTCTCTAAGTTGTTCTTCCAATAATGTAAGTCTACGTTCAAAATCAATTTCTCTTTGTTCTGCCTATGAAATCAAAAGAATTAGAGCTTGCTAAAATTCAACAGCCATGTAATGAAAAGTTAATGGGATATACCTTTTTGATGTCATCTTTTAACTCATTCCTTTCATGTCTTCAAACTTTTCTAATGATACAATCAAAGAACTGCCTTGTTTCTGCTTACCGGAGGACTTGACTTGTTTTCTATCTTTATGTGTCATTTCGTAGTTTAGCTATTGGAAGACAAAACACAAAGTTGTGAATTTACTAGTTAGTAAGACTGTGAATGAAAGTTGTTATATCATTAAGAAATTGCTATAGAAATAGCAACCACACACATTATGCATCCTATATTCGAACAATCTGTAAGGTTTTAAAATCTAGCATTTGAGATGTCACAATGTAATCATAATATAACCGAAAGATTTAATTATTAAAATAAAGATTCGGGAAATAAAGAAAACTAGAATAAACCTCTGACGTTTAACTTGACATAACAATAGAATAATACATTTTTGAGTTGGTGTTCACATTCATAGAAACATAGCCTTACCACCCTAAAATGAAGAGTTTCGTAAGGTAATATCATGATACCTTCTTCAGTAATTCGTCAAAAGACACCACATGGTTGTCTTGTCCATGAGCCCTCCTATATATGGTTTCAAATGTCTTGTTTTTTTGTAAACCAAAAGATTCAAGAACAAAGTTTGGGACTATAAGCTTGAACTCATCAGTGCCACTACGAAGAGTGAAAGAGGCAAAGACTTCTTCTATTTTTCTCACGGTTTTGGCTCTGTGCGTTATAATCTCATCAGTTGCATCGCATTGGTTCAGAAGAAAGGTAATCGATTGTAACAAAAGAAAGAACCCTAATTTCGTCAAATTCAGATGGAGAACTTTGCTTCTAAGCAACATAGCTTATACTAGGTAACATTGATTCTAAGTTGAAATTGTTTGTCACAGAAGAGTAATGATCTTATATGTATGTTCAATGTTCTAGTATCATTTTGTATATGGTTAATAGTGACGATCAAACGAATGCTAGTACTTGACCAATGGTTATGTATGTTAAACCGAGTTAAACAGTGAGCAAACTCTTTTCCAAGAAGAATCATATCGAGCTTTGAATTCAATTCAGTCCCTGAATTTTTTTTCTAAAATTGGATTTACGCAATAAAATAGTTTATAAATTTTTTACGAAATCAAGAAAAGGTTTCCACATCTGTAAT